TGCCCTCTACTCTGGAGGTATTAATATCAATTCATTTTTACTGGTGGTGTTAATTTTTAATCCTTTCATCATCTTTATAGTTTTCTTCTGAATATTTAGCTAAAGATTATCCTGTTATATCATTATATATCATTTTTATCTTGATCCTCAGTTTTGTTTTGTTTTTTTCCTTAAGTGTAGGAACCATGTTTATCCACATGAAAACACACATTGAGTATATTTGGAACCAATTTTGTTTCATAAGGTGATAAACATCTCTAACCAACTCAGAGCAAACTAAGAGGCTTGGTGTCACTATCATAATTCACATTTTCTTGAATTTTAACCCGTGGTTCTATTATCACATATTGTCAATAAAGAAATGTAACACCTACATATGTTAGTGGGGTAAAGCTGATGTTATCCTATTTAGGAAGGTTATGTCAAAAGAAAAGTATAAACAAATTATATGAAAGAGACTTTTAGTGATTTTCAAGCACCTCATGAACATTCATTCTTATATGAACATTAAAGTATAATATCAAATGAGTCTTTAAAATAAGTCCATCTATGTCTACTTAACACTTTGCAGTTAAAGTAATCAAACTTCCTTTCTTTTAAAATATACCAGACTTTCTCACTAATCAAACTAGTCATTTTCCCAGTTGGCCTAAATTACTGATTAAATTCCTATGGTCTGTATAACTTATTAATCTCACCACAATTATTTTACTGTTTTATGTAAAACTCGCCCCTGAGGAACAGAAGCTAAACAGTATCAAGATAGCTATAGAATTATTTCCTTTGTAAAGTTTCTATTGGTTTGTGTAGGGTGAATAAAATTTACAACAAAATAGTTTTTGAAGATACTTATTACTATTGTTCAAATCAAAAAACCACCTGTATATTACACTTGGTATTTATATATATTTGGCAACACTTACCCTGAATCTTTCACAATAATCACGGATACCATTGTGTGGAAAAGAGTTGACACAGTAGCCTAAAACAGCTCTCCTTGGAAAGGCCTGATTGCAAGGTTGACCCCTGGCTGGTATCTAGGAACTCAGATTTTGGGGGGGTTCCCACCATTCCCTAATAAGAACGGATCACAGTGCCTAAACTGTGCAAATAACATGGTTTATGCTGAACATCTGCTTCCTTTCTAGGGGTCTGGAATTGTGTTAACTGCTGCACCTTTGAAAACATCATTTCTTGGCTGTCAAACAGATGGTAAAACTTGAATGGGGAAGAATCCTTCATAACCAAAAATATTAACTTTATATCAATTGTACAAATGTCTCATTTAGGAGAAAATTTGAATATTTTGATTCAAAGGATTCTAAATATTTCATCATTGTAGGAAGAATATAACAAAGTAAAATTACTAACAAATTAAACAAATATAAATGACCCATTATCAAATTCTATTATTTTTCACAAAATCCATAATTATGAAATAATAGATTAAATAAGATACACTTTCACCCAAATTTGGAAGCCCCGGGAACCACACAGACCTTTGAATCTCAGGATCTTCATCTATCAAATGCCCTTTTACATCTCATCCAACGTACATATTGATATAAAACTCTTAATATTAAGTAATCCTTTAGAGCAGGGGTCAGCAAACTATGGTCCATGAGTCAAAAATGACCCATCACTTGTTTTAGAGCATAAAGTTTTACAGAAACACAGACATTTATTTGCATTTACTTACATATTGTCTGCTTTTACATATGACTGCTTTTACAACAATAGACGAGTAATTTAACAGAGACTATACAACACACGAATACCATTTGGCTCATTACAGAAAAAGTTTGTTGATCCCTGCTTTAGAAATTGAGGTAGATATTTCACCTCAATGTATTTTCCAGATATAAAAAGCTCTCCTTTTAAGTAGAAAAACTACTTTCAACATAAAGTACATGCATTCTATATTTTCCAAATAACTAACAATACAGTCTCCTAACTTCATAGTTCTGCCTCTCAGACTTGGCAAGTGATGGAGTAGACTGGCAGATACGAGTTTGAGCCCTTGCTCTAATTCTTTGCAATCGTGGGCTAAACTCCAAATGAGGATTATACCCACCTGCCCTGCCAATCATTACAATTTTAAAGACTGAAAGAGAGATAATATATGAAAATATTTCTAAATTATAAATCGTCACATAAATGCACCCATCACTTATTAAAAGATCACTGCTTTAATGATTCCAGTATTCAAATACATATTATATTCTATATAAAACACAATTAAAGACGTAAAACCACTTAGTCTACAGTAAATACCATGGACTTAATGAAAACAAAAACCAAGTTGATTTCTACACATCATACTATACATTGATCCAAATGTTGTCTTGTTAAGTCAAGGAGCTTACTTTTAATGCTATTTTGCTTGCCTTTAGTCAGATGGAAATTTGTAAAAGGGATTTTGAAAGATTTGAAGGATAAGGCATAGCTAATTGGATGGAAGAGTAAATGTATGAGAAATGTATGAGAAAATGTATGAGAAAAAGTGGGTATGGGACAAAGGAATAGAAGGAGTATATCAGAAAAGTACAGGAGAAGCTCTTAGCTCTTTTTTAAAGACACAAAAACTCAATGAGAATTTAACTCATTTTTAAAGACCAAAAGTCATTCAGATCAAAATAACATCTCAGAGCATAAGAATATCCCATCAGAGTATGATAATAGAAGATACAGATTATGGCTTTGCACTAACATCTAACTACTCTGTTGACACAAAATTAGATCTGTGTTTATAAACACTTACCAAAAGAGACATTGAACCGCTTTAGTTCACAGAGAGTGACAAAAATCCATCTATTCCAAAGATTTCTACTTTATCTTCAAGACTCAGAAATATCCTACTATAAAAAACAAAAGTAAAACAACTTAGATTCACGTACAAATTCCTTGAAGGTCTAATTGCCATAAACCCACTGCTATTTGGGCAGCTATTCTTTGACACAAGGACTACAGACTTCTAGTAATCTAAAGAAATATCTAAGTAAATAAAGAAACCATACGCCTGTAGAAAGTCATTATACTTTTTATCCAAAACAGCCAAGTATTCATTCTACTAGTGTTTAATGCATGGGTGCCGTGGGTCAGGCAGGCACTGTGCCGGGCACCAGGAACACTCACTGGTGATCAGGGCAGACAAGGCTCCTGTAGTATACGTTCCCACAGGCAGTAAGATTAGGGATGTCGTGATTAACTGAGTTTCCCTGTTCTTAGGATTTTGTTTCTTGCTTTTTTCCGTGTAATATAAGTTCTTTCTTAACAGAAAAATTTTAGACTCCATTATATCATCTATTTTTCAGAAAAACTCATAAGAAACTGACACAATCTGTGAGAACTGTTAGTACTAAAGGGGTTGTCCCTGTGCCTGGTTTAATCCCAGAGGATTTGCTTTAGATGGGACAGACTATTAAGAGATAATTTTATAAGACATTTTGAGGTCAAGGCAGCAGCTGCCCCTAGTAAGGGGGGGAGAGGTTCCCCGCAAGATATATTTGCTGTCATAATTCTCTCCTGCATGCTCTTTCACTAGGTATGAATATAAATCCCTTTTTAAAAATCATACTTGAGACTGTATTTCTAAATGTATTCACAAGTACATCAGTGTGGCCTTTTACACTAGTATCTAAAAAGCTAGTTAGGATAAAGCTTTATAAATCATTTAAATTTGTTCCTTAATAGAATGGTTCCTCTGAAGCCTTTAATCTGAAAGGTTAACACTTTCTGTGAAAATCAGAAGCCGCATCTAAATGACAGAACTCAGGTTTTGAGTTAATTTAAGAATCCAACAGAGACCACTGTTACAGAGAACGCAAAAACAAAAACAAAAACAAAACCCAAAAAGCCGATTTAACTCTCTTTGTGGAGCTTTAAAATTACTGTAATTTTCAAAGTGATCTTGGAAACTCATAAAATCTTAAAAATTATAGCGACACACAACTTGGTAGAATTTTCCAAACTTAGCATTCTGACTTACGCTTTCAAAAAATATTTACTAAGCGCCTACAGTGTGCCACTCTATACTAGGAAGGCGCTGTCACAAATTCTGATCAAGTTTTGAGGGAAAAGGCACTTGACACAACAAACCCACGAGGGAAAAACACAACGCTGACTTAAACACCTCGGACAAAACGCAGCTTGAGCATTTAATTACGTAAAAGCTTCCTTCCGAGTCCTGTTTTGTGGCACTTTGTAGCGAACTTGCAGAAGGTGGCACATAGATCCGGGGCGGGAGGGCGTCGTGTGTTTGGAAACTCGGCGGGTGGATGAGTGCCGCCAAAGGTGAGAACGGGGATGGGGGTGGCGGGACCCGGGGAGGGCACCGAGGGCGGCCGGGCCCCGCTCACCTGGCACCGCCGACCCCAGCAGGCACCGGCTGCGCCGCACGCAGGTGCCTCCACCGCCGCGCGGCCCAGGGCTCCGGGCTGAGCCGAAGCTGCACGGGGCGCAGGGGCCGCTCGCTGTGCTGAGCCGGACTCCGCCACGGCTCC